CTAGAGTCACAAGCAAGTCGATTGTTCCCTTAGGTACCAGGCTATCCTCGGTGAATCCATAGAGCGGCAATGGACACGCCCTCAAGTTTCTCTCAGTGAGCCTCATTTTCTTGGGAGCTTTTCGAGAAAATGATGTTTGTTTCATTTCTATTATCGACCATCACCCTTAATACCCTGGCATTACCAATCCTAGATGTGATTACGATCGTATCATGATTATGGCGAGGAGATTCTTCACATTCTTCGATTGTGAATCCTACCACCTCACTCTCTTGTTTGGGCCACTTCGACAGCTTTTGTTCACAACTCATTACTTGGGGGATCGAGTCTGTTCTGGCCTCTAGAGCATATTGCTCGCGAGTGTGCCTTGAGCTCCCTACTAGTCGAGCCCCTCGAAGATCATGCCTACCAAGACTTCATTATTGGCGTTGGTCAAGGGTTGTTGGACTTGGTTATTTTGCTCATTAATATTTTCGCAAGCTGGTGCCTCCTTAACAAATTCCTTTAAGTGGTCCTTTTGTCTCAGGTTTTCGATGACATCTTTTAAAGCCCGACATTCATTAGTATTGTGCCTGATGTCTCGGTGGTATCGATAATATTTTTACCCATCTCTTCTGCCTAGAGCCCCTCTCATTCTTTCTAGAGTAGGTAGTCTCTACGTCACTTAGGAGACTTCATATACGTGAGCTATATCTTGCGTGAGAAGGGTGTATTCTGTATATTGCGGGAAAGGCTGCCTGTCCCCATGGTCATCTGTTCTCTATCTCTTTTGGGACCTGTTCCGGTCCCTATCATTATAGTCTTGGCCCCTCCTCTTGTGTGATGGGCGATCTTGTCACATGTCCGCGAGCTTCTGGCTAAGGCTGCTAGTGAGCTTTCTACTCTCTGGTGCTTTGCAGCTATTCGGTAAAACTTTGCTAGGCTCATGTGATCTTCACTTTGGAGCTTTTTCCACATCTCTGTTTATGACCTGATGCCTACAATTAGCAAAGTCTGGATTGACTCTTCGGGTGTATCCATGACCTTTCCTTGATTGTTCTGGAACCTCATTAAATACGAGGTCAATGCTTCATTTCTCTCATGACGAATGTTGCTCAAGTAGCTAAGTGACATTGCGAACTATCTCTTCACTTGGAATTACTGCAAGTACAGTGAGGAGAATTGTTACCAAGAACTGATGGAGTTTGTTTTGAGTCTTTTTTAGCACCTCTTGGCGTCCCGTACCAATATGACTGTGAAGCAACGACACTTTACCAAGTCACAGACCTAGTGCAGCTCCATAAGGTCAATAAAAGTGTTGAGGTGGTCTCTTGGATCTCCTTTCTCGTCGAACTTACTTTTTGGCACCCTGAATCCTTAGGGAAGCGGGGCTTGACGAACTTCCTTTGTGAAGGGAGAGCTTACTTTTCTTCCGCCACATTGTTCTGGCGGGCTCTTAAATTGTCGAGCATTTTCTTCACCCGATCCAACTCTTCATTGTGATTGCCCTGGCTGGCTTTGTTCAACCTTACTTCGAGCAAGTGAGTTTGCAAGTCTATTGCTTATGAGCCCCCTCCATGCTCATTGATGTGAGAGGTTGAGTCATGATGGCTAGGTTAGTAGGTGCTATCATGCTTGTCCGTGAGTTATTTGTGACGTTGGTTATAACCGGAACGTCAGTCATTGCCAGATTGACATACTAACTCATCTTGCAAGCTTGCGAGGACCGAGCTTGTCTTGGGCATGGGTTAAAATCGGCACACTACTGCTGGGGATATTGTCAAGCCGGTCGAGAGTCTCATGGGCGACCATTACCTTCGCTTTCACCCATTCGTTGTTTCCTTGGTCGTCTCCAAGGTTAGTTTGCTTGCGGGTCTCATGCTTGTGAGTGGAGTGTGCTTTGTGGTATTGGTGGTGCCAGTCCCCCTTTGGTGCCGATGAGCCAGACTGGTCACCAACTGAATTCTGACTTATCAGGGTGATATCGGTAAAGCGTGGCTAATCAAGGTTCAGTGTGGTTGGTTGCTGATTTCTCAGCTCGGCCACATTCTGTTGCACCGCCTGTGTAACCATTGTTTTAATCATTTCCACTAGTTGGCCGTTCTCGAGGTTTGACATCTCTACTCCCTGGTTATTCGCGGCTTGTTAATTTGGCGGCATTAGTGGTCGATGCCCAACGATGTCTTGTTGCACCTCTAGGTGGGTGGTCTCCACATTGTCGTGGTTTTCGGTGATGATTTTCGATCTTATAAGCACCATTGTGGGCCTAGAGTGATTAGGTCACTGGGATTGCTTGCCAAAATTTCTGGGATTTTGGCGGAGGCCCTCCTTCTAATACCAAAATGTTGATGCTAAAATACACCAACCAAAGTGATCCGATCAACCTTGATGGGATCATAATTAATGTGTGCGTGATTACGAGTAACCAGCAGTGAGCAAATAATAAATGCAGTAAAGTAAATGGCAAAGAGATTTTTAAAGTGCTTTAGTGAGATGAACTTTTGATCCTATGTTCACTATTCTTGTATTTGCTGTGAGAGCTTACAATGACAATCCTAGAAATATTTGCTAACCACTTTCTCATCGTTGGAGGGGGTTTATATACAGAATTTGTACAAAGGAAAGAGCAAAAATAAAAAGATTACAATTAAGTTTGAAATACAACTCCAATATTCTCGCGATTGGGCGTTTTGATTGCGCAAAGATTACTGTCGATTGGATCCTTTCTGAGATATCAGAGATCTGAAGTTATTTGTGAATTGGTTGAACAATTGTAAGGATTGGTCTTGCTAGCTTATGCTAGGTTGAGCTATAACTTGATGAGCTTATGCTGGGTCGGACAATTGGTAGAGTCAAGCTGCTTCTGGATTAGGCTATAACCTCGCAATACTTCGAGCTTGGTGGAAAAATCATGGACAACAAATTGGATCCATGAATACAAGAAATAATTATTGATCTTTCTCTTTGAAAATCTAGGATTTGGATTGGTCTCCTCTAATTTGGGTAAATGGTAATAATATAAAAAATGAAAGAATGAGACCCCATAAAGGAGTCTGTACAAGAGATCATGAGCTCTTGGACATTCCAAACAAGGGATGGGCAGTTTTGGGTGCCCTATGATTTTTAGGGGAACTAGAATCGGTCGGTTCCCAGGAAAAAGAATCGACCAATTCTGGTTCATTGATTGTTGGAACCGGAACTTGAAACGCAAGTTCCGGTTCCTAACCTTGGTACCCTGTAAAAAAATGTTACCCCCTATTAGTTTAAAAAATGACAAACACATCTTAAAATTTTATAGATACACCCCTAAAAAATTAAGAAAACATGCATTTAGTAGTCCAATGTGACTCACATGTCCTCTAATCTCTAGGCAACACTTGAATTCAATTCATCACAATTATAGAGAAATAAAATATAATTACTAATAATTAAATTATTTCAAAAAAAGTTTCATACACAATTAGTAGGTGGTTCTGATTTTTGTATTTTAATAAATTAACAACTAATCATTTATCTTTGATACTCATTAAATTTCGATTCATACTTAATTACATATGAATAGATAAAAATAATTTAGATAATATTATAATTACTAGAGTAAAAATAAAGTTTTTGAATTTGCCCACAAGTTAAATTAACATTAATTGTGAATTTGTGACAAAAGAATAAAATTAAATACTAATATTAATATGATTTATGAATATTTCATTAAATAATGAGCATGACTCTAACTCTAATTTTGTTTTATGATTTCTTAATATATCATGACTCATGTCTCATGAGGCATGAGTTGTCATACTATATTGTAATGTTATAACTAATCAAATTTCCAATCATTTAATTAAGTAATATACTAATGTTTATCAATTTATCACATATAATTAATTAATTAGTAATTTACTATAGATATACTTATAACTTGTTAATTGAAGTAAATAACTAAATATTATTCCATCAAATATACTATTTTATTCAAAAATAATTCTTTTAAAACATTAAAATAATTTTAATTGGATCATAATTCGAATTGTACACTTAATTAATCAAACTTTAATATTATAATATATATTTAGAAAATACATTTTAAAAAAATATAGATTCTACTTATTATTTTAATATAATCTACACGAAGCAAGTGGGGGCCTCTACAGTCCACATGTGTCTTAATCCCATTTAAAATTTTTTATATGTAAAATTATTAGACCTACCATTCTTTATTGATATTCCATTTTAGTCCAGGTTCCAAAGACAGGTTCCATCCCTGGTCTCCACCCTCGGTTCCAAGCAGGCTCCATCTTGGGCACCCAACATTAGTTCCAAGCAGGTTCCATCTCGGGTACCTACCATCAGTCTTCATCCTAGGTTCTAGTTTCAGTTCCTACACATGTAGGAACCAGAACTAGAACTAGACCAGAATAGTGTCGGTTCCAAAAAATTAGAATCAAAACCTACCCCCCCCCCCCCCCCCCCAAAAAAAAAAAAAAAAAAAAGACCTAGCAAAACAAAGGCGTCAAGTGTCAACATGGCAATCCATAAACATCAACTAGCTAGACTTGCAAAGGCCTAAACAAGCAGACAAGCAGCACCAAAAAACAAAAAAAAAACAAAAAAGAAAGGGGGAGGTCTAGTACAAAATCAAAAACAAGTCTGCACAAATATACACAAAGATCAGCCAAAAAAAAGAGACCCCAAGCACAGCAAAAAGGAGTCTCTACAACTACGAGAGATCATGCGCCTTTGGTCTCCTCTCAATTGATTTCTTCTAAAATTCAATGATTTATTCTATAGAATTTCATTATTAAATATTAATGGACTCCATTCAACTGATTCTAGAGAGTTCCTTGAGTGGAATTGGGTTATTTGTCATTTCGGAGGATCCCTGTTGAATTGTTAAAGCATACGAACAATGCTATTCAAACCCCAATTATGGAAGCCAAAACCGAAAATACACAAAAAGCAGATTACAGGGAAAAGGCCATGCATTTACACATTTCTCGTCTCAATCTTTCTCCCTTAATTTCATGGCATCAAACAACTCAGTGAAAATCCAAGAGGTTACCAAAGTCACTCCATCCTTCCACTTAACCACCGACTTCTCTCTCCCGCTCACCTTCTTTGACATATTTTGGTTCAGGTTTCCTCCCGTTGAACGCCTCTACTTCTACCAAATCAATAATTTAACCCCTCATTTTTTCAACTCAATTATTCTGCCGAAACTCAAGCAGTCTCTTTCTGTAGCTCTCCTCCACTATCTTCCTCTAGCTGAAAACTATTATGCAACGGAAACATAAACTCTAACGCTAGCTATTGAATATAATAATAACAAGTAGTAAAGCATAAATAAATTGCCAAAATTAAATGCAAAAATAAAGAATACCAGGAATTAACGAGGTTCGGTATTGAAATCTACGTCCTCGGGCGCTGCAAAAGAAAACTCCACTATCTCCAAACAATATTACAAACTTTTGGGCAATACAACAAATACCCAAAACAAAGGGGAGATACAACAAAACTTGCAAACTAAAGGGTCCTTAAAGAAAGAACCCTAAACAAAAGAAGTATAATGGAATTACAACTTGGGATACAAATAACATTGATTTAGGTCCTTATATATAGGCCCCAAAAGTTTCCCACTTTTCATTCCTTTTCAATGTGGGACAAACTAACTCATTTTGGCCTATTACATATAAGTCCCTAAACCTTTTTCCATTATCACTTCTACCCCATGTGATTTTGCTAAAAGCCATTTTTCAACAAATCTCCACCTTGGCGAATTAGCAAATCTTCAAAGTTTTGTATTCTTCTGCCAAATTTTGCAACACCTTCAAAAGCACCAAAAGACACAGTCAAGCTCGCAGGATGTTGATCAAGTTCAAACAATAAATGAACTTGACCCTTGTCACTACTGAAGTCAACATGTCTGTAGGATTATCTTCTGTGCCAATCTTCTGGAAAATCATTTTCCCATTTTCAATATAATCCTACACAAAAACTAAACCAATATCTATAGTACATAAAATATACTGTAGAAACCATTTCACAACTTGCAAATGTCCTTTACCAGGATCATGCATATGCCTGCTCACCATACTAACTGCTTGTGAAATATCAGGCCTTGTGTACCCATGGCCCATCATACATTGATCAAATCGCTTGTACCACTGTCTTGGTGACTGCTTCAAACTATATAGCGATTTCTTCAATCTGCAAACCCAATTTTTCTTTCCAGCAACCCTATAATCATCTGGCTGAGTCTTGTAGATTTCCTCTTCCAAACTACCATGTGAAAACGCGATTTTCACATCCAATTGAACTAGTTCAAAATCAAACTGTGCCACCAAGGTTAGCAAAATTAGAATGGAAGAATACTTTACCACAGGAGAAAACACTTCACTGTAATCAAATCCTTCCATTTGAGCGTATCCCTTTACTACCAACCTAACCTTGTGTCGAACATCTTCTCTATTAGGAAATCCCTTCTTCTTTGCATACACCCATTTGCACCCAATCGCCTTCTTATGTAGGGATCGCATTTCATCATTCATGGCCGGTTTCCATGATTCACAATTTGAACTCCTAACTACTTCTTTATAAGTAGTAGGAATATCATCACCTACGATTGGAAGTGCATAAGCCACCATATTAGCGAAACGAGCAGGCTTGCGAATTTCTCGTCTTGGCCTATTGTATGCAATCGATTCCTGTTGCTGAGGAGATTCTTGGGGTAAAATCTCCTTTTCATCAATAATATCCACATTAGTCACCTTAGAATCACTTTCTGTCTTGTGGACACTATCTGGTTCAACTGTTGTTTCAAACTCCACCTGCTGCTGAGTATGCTCCACACACATATGCCACAGCTTGAGCATTTCTGAATCTGTATCCTCCTGTACGACTGCAACTGTCGTTTCAATAACTATACTACCATTATAGTAATACAAGTTGTTTCTCCTCGTGCCTTTCATTACCACAAGAGCGCCTGAAGAAACTTTTAGAATTCCATCTCGCATATTCACTGTGAAGCCTTTAGATTCCAAGGCTCCCAAAGAGATGAGATTCTTTTTCAACTTCGGTACATACCGAACATCTGTCAGAGTTCTAGTTGAGCCATCATGATTCTTCAACCGAATTGAACCTATCCCAGTTGTTTTACAAGCATCATCATTGCCCATATAAACAACTCCACCATCAAGTTCTTCAAAATTAAAGAACCACTCCTTGTGGGGACACATATGATAGGTACAACCTGAATCCATAATCCACTCATTTGATCCAGAGGTGGATGGTAGGCTAACTAGACAGAAATCTGACTCATCCTCTTCACGCTCAACAACGTATGCATCAGAAGCAGCTTTGCCCTCTTTCTTTTGCAACTTCGGACAATCTTTCTTCCAATGCCCTTTCTCACGACAAAAGGCACATTGATCCCTATTGAGTTTTCCCTTTGAACGAGATCTTCCTCTTCTCTCCTTCTTACGACTCTGATTTTGACTCCGCCCTCTTGCTACAAGAGCTTCTGCTGACTCATCTCTATTCTCCTTCTGATCCTTCTTCCGAATTTCATGATTGGACAGAGCAGAACAAACTTCTTCAAAGGACAATTTTTCTTTCCCATGAAGAAGTGTAATACTAAGATAGTCCAACTCATCTGGAAGAGATCCAATTAACAACATAGCCTTATGCTCATCTTTGAATGTTTCATCCAAATTTAACAAATCAGCAATTAATCTGTTAAATGTATCAATATGGCTACTGATATTTGTACCTGGTCTCAACTGAAGACGAAACAGTCTTTTCATCAAATAGAGCCGATTCTCATTACTTTTCTTCATGTATTTGTTTTCCAGCGCCTTCCATAACTTATTGGCAGACGTCTCTTTCATGAATGGATATTTCTGCTCTCTACAAAGACATGAGCGAATCATCCCACACGCTTTTACATTCAACCTCACCCAGTCTTTCTCATAGACATCTTCTGGTTTTTCCTCCTCCAGAACGATATCTAGATCCTGCTGATACAAGCTATCCATTACCTCACTCTGCCACAAGCCAAAATTATTTTGGCCATCAAATTTTTCAACATCAATTTTTGCATTTGAAACCGTTATCATCTTTACTGGTGCGGATGGTGGTGCCGCGGACGGTGATGCCTCGGACGATGAATCCTCGGACAATGATGCCATTTATGCCTTACTCAATTAGCTTGGTAAACAAAGTTCCCAATAACCAAGCTCCACAAATTATTATATTCAATAGCTAACCAACAAATCAACAATAGCCCTAGGTAGTAGTAAGTGCTGAAATGATTAAATACGCACCAGGAAAATTCCCAGGAAACAATGGAGGGGTCACAAATGGTCCCACTTAAAATCCAGTCTCCTTAGACTTTTATCGTCTTTTTGACAGAATTTTCCTAGACATGCATATAACCATACAAATAGCTACTCACTGTCCTAAACCTAGGCTCTGATACCAATTGTTATGCAACGGAAACATAAACTCTAACGCTAGCTTATTGAATATAATAATACAAGTAGTAAAGCATAAATAAATTGCCAAAATTAAATGCAAAAATAAAGAATACCAGGAATTAACGAGGTTCGGTATTAAAACCTACGTCCTCGGGCGCTGCAAAAGAAAACTCCACTATCTCCAAACAATATTACAAACTTTTGGGCAATACAACAAATACCCAAAACAAAGGGGAGATACAATAAAACTTGCAAACTGAAGGGTCCTTAAAGAAAGAACCCTAAACAAAAGAAGTATAATGGAATTACAACTTGAGATGCCTAATAACAATGATTTAGGTCCTTATATATAGGCCCCAAAAGTTTCCCACTTTTCAATCCTTTTCAATGTGGGACAAACTAACCTATTTGACTTATTACAAATAAGTCCCTAAACCTTTCTCTATTATCATTTCTACCCCATGTGACTTTGCTAAAAGCCATTTTTCAACAGAAACCTCTTGCGCCCCCAAGAGACCCCAAAACTAGCCATTCACTACTTCCAAAACGACGGTGTTTCACTCACTGTTGCAGAGTCTAACGCCGACTTCAATTACCTCTCAGGCAATGGAGCTCGTGAAGCAGCTGAATTTCATTCTTTTATACCCCAGTTGTCTGTATCCGATGATAAAGCAGCAGTAATCACTATCCAAATAACGTTGTTTCCCAATGAAGGTTTCTCCATTGGCTTCTCCGCTCATCACGCAATACTTGATGGGAAAAGTTCAACCATGTTTATAAAGTCTTGGGCTCAAATTTGCAAACAAGACCTTCTTTGTCACCAGAACTGACCCCAGTTTTCGACAGGAGTGTCATCCAAGACCCTACCGGGATTGATCAACTGTACTTGAATACCTGGTTGTCATTAAACGCTGCACATTCGAACTCCATCACCCAAAGCTTGATGTTTTTGCCAAGCGCAGAAGTGGATTCCAACTTTGTCCAAGCCACTTTGAGTTGAGCCGCGAAGATATCAAGAAGCTAAGGGTTAAGGTGCAAGAAGTGAAAAAGTCAGAACAACTTCATCTATCAACTTTTGTGCTCACATACGCTTACGCAATCGTTTGCATAACGAAATCCAAAAGAGAAGAAGAAGGTAACACAAATACAAAGCTTATATTCGGATTCACAGCAGATTACAGGACCCGATTAGAGCCTCCAATTCCAGGGAACTATTTCGGTAACTGTGTTGGTCCACATGCAGCGATTGCAGAAGTGAAAGATATAAAGAAAGAAGATGGGGTTTCATTTGTTGCAGAGAAGTTAAGTGAATTGATCAAAGAGTTGGAGAAGGGGTCAGTTCTTGGAGGAACAGGGGAGAAGCTTGCAGAGTTGATTAAAATGATGAAACAGTGGGTAAGAGCAATTGTGGTTGCCGGGCCACCTATGTTTGAAGTTTATGGCTCGGATTTTGGGTGGGATAGGCCCAAGAAAGTGGAGATTGTATCAACAGGTAAAACTGGGTCTATTTCTATGGCGGAGAGTAGAGATGGAAGCGGTGGTGTTGAGGTTGGAGTAGCTTTGGAGAAGCAAGAAATGGAGATTTTTGCTTCCCTGTTTGTTGATGGGCTAAAACATGTCTGATGGAAAACCCATTAGTATTAAAAATATAGTTTTGATATAGTAAAAATTCAATAAATGAAAGGCAATGCATGCTTCCTTATTTATTTATTTATTTAATGATCGTATCGGAATTTATTTATGTACACCTCAATTAATTATTAGGAACTTAAAACTATTAACTGAATAAGAGCTCTAGTGATTATCCCCTATTAACATTCGATGAGAAACTTAAATTCATAATCTTTTAAGTAAGGTATTAAAGAATCTCATCAAACCAGTCAACTTTAGATAGTTATGCTTTTTTATTTCTGAATTTATCTTTTTATTTAAGAAAAGGACTTTAGATATTGACAGATTGTTAGTTTTATGATATATTAGTTTATGTATTTCTTTTTCATATGCAAATTGCGTGATGAATATATATGGTTCAAAAATTGAGAGTTCCGAGGTTGACATAAATAGACCTTTTTTGGGATTCAACCCAAATGTATGACATAAATAGAACGTCGGTTTACTTAGTAATGTTGAGACACGGTAAGAACTGACCAGGCACAGAAAGTATCCCAGACTAAAGCGGTCAAGGACCAGTCCCAAGCAGGCCCGCAAAAAAGTCTCCCTTTTGCTCCAAGTACAGTCCTACCGTTCATCTCGTTCACCTCTTGAATCGAATAGAATTGGGACCAGTCCCACACGGGCCTGGGACCGAGACCAGTTACTAATGGGCCTAGAACCGGTCTCAAGCCCATGAGCAATATGAGGTCCCAGACCGGTCCTATAGGCCCAAGTCCTATAGGCCTAGATAATTTCTTTTCCTCTGTTCTTTTTTCATATTTTACGAGCGAATTGAAATTTTATAGGGGTTTTTTTTTATTTTTTAGGGATAGATTAGTAAGTTTCTAAAAATTTAATTAATTTTAAAAAATAATAAATAAATTAAAATTTAATTTTAATTTTTAACATAAATTCACATTTCATACATTCACGGTTCACAAATAAACAATTAAATAATTTTTTTTATTAAATTATTCATTTTCATCGTCAACAATATTTACATCATTCAAATCTGTATTCCTAAAGAGTTCGAGTAGTTCAGGATCTTCAGGGTGCTGTTGTAGTCTTCTTTCTGCATGAGTCCAATCCCGTAAACATGTTATCACTTCAATCATCTCATCGGTTAAAGAATATCTTCTGTCTTCAACAATCCGACCACTCGTTGAAAATGTTAACTCGGATGCAATTGTAGAAACCGGTACAGATAAAATGTCGCATGTCATTTGAGCTACAATGGGGAATCGACTTTCATGTTGACTCCACCATTGAAGAATATCCATATCATGTTGCTCTTTCATCGTCATAAAGGACAAGTCCACTTGTAGGTAGTGATTCAGCGCATTTGGTCCATGTATGTACGAGTTGGAGCTACTATTCCGTCACGTTCCACATACGTCCACTTGCTCGATCCTTGACGGAGGGCTGCATCGAGGTCCTGATCCTCTCCCCTGAACGTTCCACTTTCACTTCCACTTCCACTTCCATTGTACCTGTTCTCATATAAAGAAAAAAGGCTATCCAATTTTTGTTTAAAGTTAATCAAATAAGACATATAATCATGTCCTAAATGCTGGCCTAACTCAGTAATTATACAGTTAACTACATATAATTTAAACCTAGGATCTAGAACAAGGCCTAATCCATATAAGAATGGAATATCTAACCAATATTTCTCGTATTTTTCTTCCATCTTTAAAACAATTTCCCTTAAAACGTTATTATATCTATATTTAGCAATTTGAAGTAAAATATCTAACACTAAATTAGTAGTTGGATAATAAATACCACTTAATGTATTAGTAGCATCATAAAAAATTTGAAGAAATTGATAAAAAAGTTCACAAACCTCTCAATCATCATAGTTGACAACTTCTTCTGGATAGTGCTTCCGGTTGACGAAATCTGTAATTTGTTTCGCGGTTGGCAAAACTTTTTCCAACATCAAGTAGGTGAAGTTCCAGCGAATAGGCATGTCCGTACATAATTTCAAAGGTCGAACCGGTGGGTCCTCTTGCTTACAATATTTAACATACTCCTGCCATTTTTTATTGCTACCGCCGACGATAAATCCGATAGTCGCACGCACCGTCTCAATCTTCGAATGTATAGCCTCTAAACATGCTTTAACTATCAAATTGATGATGTGGCAAGTACATCTCTGGTGAAAAAATTTGCCTTCACCACGCGGATCCAATTTCTTTTCAAATAAAGAGATTGTCGCGGTGTTAGCAGCTGCATTATCTAGCATTAGTACTACAACTTTATCAGTTAATAAATATTATTGCAGAACTTCAAGAATTGTAAAATAAATAGTTTCAGCGCTACGTTTTTCATATAATGTTTTAAAACCCATCAATTTTTATTGTAAAGCCCAATTATGATATAAGAAATGTACTGTGACAGTTAAAAAATCGGTTTTTGATCTACAAGCCTATATGTCTGATGTAAGTGCAATAGATATATTCCTTAAATTTTGAAATTCGTTTTTAAGTTTATTATTTATTTTGTTATAAAGTTTTAGTATATCTCTTCTACTTATACTTCTACTAACAGGGGTATATGCTGGACAAAATGCAGTTTTAATCATATGAATAAAATAGGATTTTCAGATAAACAAATGGGAGAGTCTGTAGCAACTATGAATCTTGATATTTCCTCTCGTGCAACATGTGCATTTTATTGCCATGTTGTAAGAGTTCAAGATTATGGATTAAAATTAAGTTGAATTTGAATTTGTCTACTTGATTTGCTTGAAGATGTATCCGACAACTGCTTTATTTTAGGGTGTTTCTTCTCCACGTGCCGTCGCATCGTCGAAGTTCCCTTCTCAGCGCCAATAATGGTTCCACATAAATTACACATCTCACACGATTCTTCCCCCTCATCATTTGTCTTTGGCCGTTTTGATTTGGTGAAGTGTCGCCATACATCGGACATAACCCTCTTTGACGGTCGAGGGGGTTGGGCTATGCCCGTGCCCGTTGACTCGCATCTCGCATGTGTTTGGCTACACCTCGTCCTGACCGAATGTGGCTGTGGAATTGTAGCTGCTGTCTCTGGAGGAAATGGTGAAAATGGATTGAACCCTTCCATTTCTTCAGTGGATGGAACATAAAACTCATTTGGGGAATCCATTATAAATTTATGATAAAATAATAAATAATTAAAATGAAAAGAAATTAAATAATAATATGAATAAGAGATGATATTGAAAAATATAAAAAAAATGAATAATATAAATAAATAAATTATATGAATAAATTATAAATATAAATATAAATTGAATGAGAATTTGATTATAGATTTGGAGTAGAGAGATTGAGAGAATGAGAGAATAAGAAATTGATTGGTGTGGAAAGAATGAAATACTTTAAGGTTATTTATAGTGTAGTTGTGGGGGGGAAATGAAAAAGAAAAAAGGTTATAATCAAAATATAACAGTTGGCTGGCTGGCATGTTACCGTTGGCTGCCAGCCAATGGTTAGTAGAAAAAGTAAAAAAAAAAATTTTTTTAATAAATTTTGCAGAAAATTTTTTGACCATTGTAATTTATGTTTATTTCAAAATTTATAGGGGGGTTTATGTAATTGTACAGGAAACTAAACTGAAAAAATACAAAAAAATTGGGCCCAGGCCCGGGCCTTAGAGAAGGGCCCAGTGGAGGGACCGGACCCTCCTCCTTAGGCCTGGTCCCTTTTTGGGACCAAGTCTCCTAGGACCGGTCCTAGGCTCGGGTTTTTGGGCTAGGTTTGGACCCAGTCCCAAATGCCCACCTCTATCCCAAACTTACTTGAAATTATTGGCTTTTTACGTGGGGATCCAACGGTCTCAAACAGTAATACTAGGTTGAAATCTATTAATTGCAATTGACTAATAAAAAATGTAATAAAAATTGTCTCACAATCCAGTCTTATAAACTCTCACTCATAACCTCTACGTGACAATTCCAAGTGTTTTGTTGATAAATTTTGAATTTTGGAAAATTCATCAGCTAAAAACTAGGAGCTGCTACCTAGAAGTTGTGAAAGAGAGTTTGTGAGATTGAATTGTAACTTGTAAGTATAGTATTGCCCTTGAAAATGAATGAACTTGAGCAATATAGACTTCTTATAATTTCTATTAGAGTTTGCCGTTAAAAACCGAGGTTGAAGGGTGGTTCTTGAGGTAAATTAAGAACTGAAGGGAGATACTTGAGGATTTTTCATACATTTGGGTGAAACCTATACTTGGCTAAAACCTCAGGTGAGATACCGATAATAGTTCTAAATGATAACCTTATCAAGAGAGAAGGATTTTGGTCAAATAGTTCTGTTTGGTATAATATTTTATATCATATTTCCAATCTTATTCTCAAAATAATTGTTTGTTTCATTATTTAGGAAATACTTTTATATTTTATTTAATTTTTAGACCCCTTAAGTTTATTAATTTAATTAAACACCCCTAAAAAAAGTTTAAAAATTAACAAAAACACCCCCACCCACAAACATTTGCCAGATTCTGGCGACTACCGCTATAAGGTGGCCGGAATCTGGTATAATGGCGCACTACCGGCTGGATCTTGCCAATAGTGTGCCAATCTATCATTTTCTAGCCAAATCTACGGCTAAAGATCTGGTCATAGTTGGTCATCAACGACGGCCATATCTTTGGCCGTAGATCTGGCCTTTTTCAACCAGATCCATGGTGGATCTGGCTAGAAAAGGCCATCTCGGCACACGATCGGCCAGATCTAATCGATCGTACATCGATATGGCAAATCCGGCCACCCTCTGATGGTGGTTGCTTGCTGCCGATATTTAAGGGGTGGGTGGGGGTGTTTTTACAATTCTAAATGTTTTTATTAAGGGGTGTTTAGTAAATTAACAAATCTATATGGTGTTTTGTTAACTTTTAAATCCTACCACGTTATTTCCACACAACTCTAAAAATATCAAAAATACTAAAACAAACACACCATTTTAAGTATT